GAGTTTAGACAGTAGCTCATATTTTGAGGTGTTGCACTGAAGACATAAATCTCTCAATGCTCGGACTGTAAGCTGAGAAATAGGCTGCCATGACGTGGACTGGGGTTGGGCCATTCCGGCCTAGCCAAAGGACATTCATGACAACGAGCATGTGGGAACTGATATCTTCTTCATTGACCCTGCAGCATTTCAAGCTGGGTGCTGGGCTCAGTGAGATATTTGCATCCTTTAAGCTTTTGACGTCCTCCGTACCTTTCCCGCCAAGCTCTTTACCTGTCGGGTCACAAGCAGCCTTCGATGACGGTTCCCCAGGCCAGGGTTTTGATCAGACCCGGCCTGCTGCGAAGAGGCGGATCCTGCAAAGCTCACACTATAGTCTAAACTCCTACTTGTAGTATCCACCTTCATAGCCCCTATAATACCTCCCTATATAACCCGTTTAAGGAGTTTTCACTATAACTCACATGTTCCAGCCATCGCATGATCGCATGTGCATCCTGTCAACTTGCGCTGCTGGAATCAAATTCGGGCTCGTTGGCCAGTGCCTGCACCAGCTGTCGCCGTGTCACCGACATGTGGAGATCTGCAAGCAACGCCGTGCCTCTGCAGGATCAGCCGCTTCACTTCTTTAACCTGAGCCAGTGCAGCAGCTGGTTGGACGACCGCGTTCATGGTAAAAAACTCAAAACCAATCCTTTGCCTTGCAGCAATATTCACAACCCAGGTGTAAACACAGTGTACACTTTTAAACAGCAACTACAAATCCACCTAGAATTGTGGCGAATAGGCTCTGCCCGGACAACCTTTGTGCTCAAGGCCGTGACCGCAGTTTAAGCGGTCGAGCTACGAATAAAGAATCACTGGGCATGTTCTGCCAAAAGCAGTGGCTGCGTTCCAGATTTGTCATGTTTCCGAGCTCGGTTAACCCTCCCTGGCTCCTATAGCTTGCCCCCTACCCCTAAACCACAAAACCCTCAATAGTAGCTTCCACTTTCTTTTCCACTATCCCAATATACCCCCTAAATACATTATATATATTCCCATAGGATGTGGTACGTTCGATTCGTGGCTTGGCTAAGGCCTCGGCGCTTGTGTTCAGCGCCACAGCAAAGGTTGCTGAGTTGTGGTCCTTAACACGAGGGTTTAGGGGTTATATAGGGGTTATATAAGGTTATGTAGGGGTTATATAGGGTTATACAGGGGTTATATAGGGATAATGGACAAGAAAATGGAAGCTACTATTTGGGGTTGCGGGTTTCCCAAAACTAGGGCTACCTTTTTGACCGTTCCCATAATGCGGGACTATATTACAGTATATTGGAGTCTACAATGGGGTCCCCTTATTTTGGGAAATTACCAAACCCTAAACTTTAAACCTCATAATGTCCTATCCCTCGCTGGCTGGTAAAATTCTTCCCGCGGAGTAGGGCCAGATCAATCACTTCTACCAAGCATGAACCCCCAAACCCCTAACGATAGCTTTCCCCTCTATGGTGTATAGCTGTGCTGTACCAAATTGGGAATTTTGGTTATTTGGGGGTTGGGTTTCTGTAGGAGAGGTGATTCTGAAACGGCTTGGGATCGCACATTGGCAAAGACCAATTTGAGCTCCACCTCCTGCGACGTGTCAGCATGGCAGTGACAGCAAACCTAGGCAGTTAAATAGTGATACATGAATGTTAAGTATGATGATAGTCCCGAAAACTACCTGGCTAATAGCCTTTCCCTACATAGACTAGCAGCCAGACGCTGACTTTCAAGCTACCGTCCGTCCTCGGGCATTCTTTACACTGCTTGCGCCGCGGCCTGCGAGCGTGCTGATCGGCTCATTGATCCTTCTAGTATCTGGCGTCTATAGGCTACATAGGGATTATCCCCCAAAAATGGAAAATCAAATGGACATGCAAGTAAAATTCTATAGGCTATAATGAATCTCAACTCCGAGCGTCCCCCTTAATAAACTGCCATATATAATCCCTATATAAGCCCCTTTAAGGAGTTTAGATTATACGTAGCTCCTATGGTGGCCGACCTTATCAACCTTGCACTTAAATGGCGATTCCCATGAACGAGGGGCCTGAAGGTAGGCCCCCAAATACTATAATCCTTATTATAAGGACTCCCAAAAAGGGTACCCCAAATTTTCGGAACCCCCAAACCCTAAATAGTAGCTTCCTTTTTCTTTTCCCTTATCCTCATATAACCCCTGATATACAACCCATATACACCCCGATATCACCGCCTTTCCCCAAATGAAAGGAATGAGAGCCACTGAGCCGCTGGCTATCTGTTTGCATGCCCAAGGCCTGGGTTGTCAGTTGCTTCTTTAGGCTTTAGGGATTAGGATTTTAGGATTCAGGGTTTCGGGATTAGGGTTTGTATATTAGGGTCTTAGGATTTAGGGTTTTGAAATTTGGGTTTAGGGATTAGAGTTCAGGATTTAGGGTTGACCCGCGCATCGCACAGCAAGCACGGCAAATACTGTCCTGTCCGGTAAGGCGGCGCATTGACTGACACGCTATCACTAACTACAGCACCCACAGCACAACAGCTAAACCCTAAACCCTAAACCCTTACTACACTACACCAGGCCACTCTCAGCCGGGATGCTCTGATTTAGGGTTTAGGCACGCGCATCGCACTCTGCGGGTACGGTTCGTTCCAGGGTCCCAGCAAAGCTAGCCAGCTGCAGGAGGGTTTAGGGTGTGGGGTTCAGGGGTTAGGGTTGAGGGATATGTTTCTCACCCCAAGAATGGAGAATCGAATGGAAAAGAACATGGAAAATGAAATGGAAACTGCTATATACAGGGTTATATAAGGGTTATATTATGAGCTATAGTCTAAACTCCTTAAAGGGGGCTGCATAGTGGATTCTATAGACGACCTTTTTAGGGCTTGTTAAAGGGGAGGCTACGAGTTTAGACTATAGCTTATCTGCTTGCACTTGTGGATTGGAGCTCTGGCAGCTTTCTGCAAAGCCCAACAATACAGCCAACCTGTTTACATAATTGGTGTGAACCCATCCGGCAGGACACTGGACAGCAACATACTTGCCAACAAGAAGCTCTTCCCAAAATGCCCGGTGGTTCACCGGTCTAGATTAAGCCGTCTCAGCTCGGCCGCGGTACCGAGGCATTGCAAGTGAGGCGGAACTCACGCAACAGTCAACACTAACCCACGTGAGCGTTTCAGAGCCAAAGCTGAACGCTGCTCATTTTTTGCTTTGCATTGGTTGGCGAGGTCGGCGCTCTGCACCCGGAAGCCTTTAGCTGCCGGGCAGATGCCCATAGATTCTGCCTCAAACACTTCTGATCTCTGGCTCGAGAGAACACTGCTGAGCACGTTCTGTTGAGTGGAGTGATTTGCACAAGTGTACATGAACATATATGTATACATATGTAGAGTGGAACGCAAAGGTCAGAATCCTCACGCTGATTTTCACCTGGAAGCCTGATATGTACAGTTGATGCGTCCGGGACTGTTCAGCTTCCGATCTGTGAAGCCATGTAAGCTATGGCAAGAACGAACCTTACCAGTACATGATCCCTTGAGCATCGTCACGCACATCCAGCCACTACTCACCCGCATTAATCTCAAACCACGACTTCATCTCACCAATCACTTTCTCGAAGGGCATGCTCCCTCCCGTCCACCGTGAGTGGATTCGCTTGAACTTCCTTAGGCAGACTCTGCGAGGACTGGTACACGCACGCATGTACACTTCTGGGCTGCTGAATCTTCAGCTGTGTGTGTAGACGCGGACAGTGTGGGGGTGAGCTGTGAGGACTTGGCCATGTCAGGGTTGCAAGGGGCCGAGTTTGCCAGTGTTCTGCCACAATTCTGGCATGCGTCAACTGCATATCAGCGTGTTGTTGTACAAGTGTTACATCTGCTTTTTAGCTGTCAGTTGAGTTGCCCTCAATCATGCGGCTGCATGCCTTGAGTGGAGCAGCCCAACACTGCATGATCGACAGCAATCATACACATGTAGCTGGCTGTCCGCGACCCATGGCTGATCCTAAAGGATCACACATCTTGAGAAGAGGGCCACGCTAAAATCCACAGGGGCAGCCACTGCCATGCTTCCACTTTGCGTTGGCCAGATGGTCAAAAAATGCCGGCGACTAAAAGCCTATATAGGTAGGGATTGCCTCTCTTGACGTCTCAAGCTGAAGACGGCATTTGCCCTTATCCTGAAGGACCCCAGGACAGCAGCACATTGTGCATGCTGATGATGCTGACACATTGTTGCTGCACTGAAGAGTCAGTCGTGACGACTTGAGAACGCATTGCGAGTCTAGAGAACACAGAAGTAAGAACGAGAAAGGATTGAACGGATTGAGGAAGTGTTTGGAGCAAGCAGCACCACGGTGTGTTGGAGCCAGGAACTGGTCTGTATTCTCAGTCGCTTCCCAACAACCCTCGAACTGGCGGTTTTGCGTGGAGAACTGAACGTATGCAACACTACTACAAGTAGGATCAGAACAGAATCAGGCACGGCACCAATGCTAAGCTGCGAAGGGGGTGTGCGAGGTGCTGCGTGCGGACCAAGATTCGAGTCAACCAGGATAAGGGGTTGGTCGAATCCCTCCATCTCATCATACGCATCCTGGCGAAAGCTTTTTGACAACTTTGTTTTGATTTCACTGCGTCTGCGTTCCTCCAGAGAATCGTAGCGTTCGCCATACACCTCTCCAGGGAAACTAGCCGCAATGATGTAGTAGGGAGGCTCCGCCTCTTCCCTGTCCTGCAGCAAGGAACTTCATTCTGCGCTTGCATCTCTCCGGTGCCAAATTGACAGAGAACGACATCAAGGTCTGGAGGCTTCAGTACGCGGCACTTGTGCCAGACCCTCCCCGCATCAGCATCTGGTCCTCATAATTTTCGCTCCAGTGCTCATACATCTGCTCCATGACCCAGCCTGCGTCGATCGCAAACTCTCCATTCTACTCCCTCTCTCCCTTTCTTGCTTCTGCCCGTCCCTGCAGACAGCTTCTGATTATCTATCTGTTTGTATTATTCATTTATGCAAACAAATATGTAACTATATATTATATATGCAACAATATATAATGCCTGCCTCGAGTTCCATAGTACCTGAGCTCGTCGAAGCGGCTACGGACCAGGATCGTAGCGTAAGGTCCGCCATCAAGCTCGTCAAAGCGATCGTTGGCATCGTCCAGATTATCGAATTCCATGGCTTTCACGTCTTTGTCCCCCTCATGCCATAGGACCACAAAGGTCTCATCAAGACCAGATGCCTGGGCACAGTGGGGTAGGCACAGGTAAGGCGACATGTCCTGGGCTTGTGGCCAATTGAGGTGAACAAGGTATGCTGAGGCCTGGTCTCGGTGGGCTTTCTCCTCCTCCTCCTCCTTGTCGGAGAAGTCATCTGCATGGCTTGATCTCACACTTGCCTCCACCTCTTCCTCCTCATCCTCCACATGCTCACTTCCAGCAGGACTGCCACGCGCTTCTGGCTCTGCATTGCCGGGGAGTGGAAGGCTTCCAGAGATCTCGGACCCGTGGGAAGCCGTCTCTCCTGCCTGATTTCGGATGAAAGCCAGGGCATGGATACTCCGAGGTTCTTGTTATGAATGCTAACGTTCTTTTCTTTACTTGATGAAAACTATTGTTTAGTTGCTACAATGTACGTCATCATTCTCTTGTTAAATATGAGCTATAACCTAAACTCCTAGTATCAACATGAAAGGTCACCTATAGAATCCCCTTTATAACCCCCTTTAAGGAGTTTAGACTAATTATAGCTCAGAATATAACCTTGTATGTAGCAGTTTCAATGTCATTTTCCATTTTCTTTTCCATTTGATTCTCCATTGCCGGGGTGCTATCCCTAAGCCCTAAATCCTAAACCGTCATCCCTAAACCCTAGCTTAGATCCTAAACCCTATACCCTATTCCTATGTAGCCGGACCTGCTCCGCATCCAAATCCTCTTGCGAAAAAAGAGCCAGGAAATATTCGGGATACACACCACCTTAGCTCACGCACTTAGTAACAATTGTAGGGTTTAGGGTGTAGGGTTTAGTAATAACAGAAATAATAGTAGCAATAGTCGTAATAGCAGTAATCACAAAAATGATAATAGTAAATGGAGTTTTTCATACAATCGCTGTCCCGCTCATATATCCCACGTACTATAATCTGGGAGGAGGCCCCAACTTTTGGAAACTCCCGCTTGGTATTTTCAAGGATCTGCAACGGATGTTTGCATCCAAGATGCTCGTGTTCTTGATAAGAACTTCTTTGCGCTTGTCATCGTCTATCTGTAGGCGGGGACTTTTGCTTTCAGGGGAGATGCAAGCTCTTTAGCCTAACTTTGGGCGGATACATGTTTCCCACCATTTCGCTGCAGGATTGGGATTGTCGTGAAGAAGTTGGTGACCACGAAATGTCCCTTGTCATGCCTTTCGAGAGGAAGAGCTCCCTAGTCTGGGATTTTGCGGCGCCAGTGCAATAATCCACGAATTGCTGGCCAGAAGTTTGGGTATACGTTGCCGTCACAGTAGGGCCCTCAGGCAAGGAATGTCTTATGTTGGGCTGCACGCCCTCAACCCCTCCCTTCCCCACGCATGACTTAGCGGCTTGCGAGTCTTGTAGTCTACGGGTCAAAGGTGATACAATTGAGGTGACGACTGGTACAGGATGTGATGAACTGCTCGTGCTGTCTCTCACACGCAGGTACAGCCACTTGCGTGAGTGAGCGGCCTCATCCGAAACACTTAATATCATTCAACAATTTCAATGATCATGTAACCCTGGCTTGGACGATAAGAAGCCGTCAGCTCCGAAGCTTCCTAGGGAAGAGATGCAAAGAGGCCCTTCTTGAAGCTCCGAAAGAACTTAAGTATGAGCGAACAATAGCGGCAGCGCTAGGGGTCGTGCAAACTCAGATGACAAGATAAGTGCTGATTGTGCCCATAATAATTAGATCATCTTTGGCGTTACTGTAATTCTATCAGGCGTCGCCAGCCGTGGACGTCATACTCTAATGTTCAGATAGCATTATTAATTGGGGTGACAATAGCATTCAGTTGCCGGGCCGGAAAAATCCCGTAC